CAATGTTTGACCCCTCCCTATCCTGAGTAAATTCGTTACACTTGTCCCCAATGTTTGACCCCTCCCTATCCTGAGTAAATTCGTTACACTTGTCCCCAATGTTTGACCCCTCCCTATCCTGAGTAAATTCGTTACACTTGTCCCCAATGTTTGACCCCTCCCTATCCTGAGTAAATTCGTTACACTTGTCCCCAATGTTTGACCCCTCCCTATCCTGAGTAAATTCGTTACACTTGTCCCCAATGTTTGACCCCTCCCTATCCTGAGTAAATTCGTTACACTTGTCCCCAATGTTTGACCCCTCCCTATCCTGAGTAAATTCGTTACACTTGTCCCCAATGTTTGACCCCTCCCTATCCTGAGTAAATTCGTTACACTTGTCCCCAATGTTTGACCCCTCCCTATCCTGAGTAAATTCGTTACACTTGTCCCCAATGTTTGACCCCTCCCTATCCTGAGTAAATTCGTTACACTTGTCCCCAATGTTTGACCCCTCCCTATCCTGAGTAAATTCGTTACACTTGTCCCCAATGTTTGACCTCTCCCTATCCTGAGTAAATTCGTTACACTTGTCCCCAATGTTTGACCTCTCCCTATCCTGAGTAAATTCGTTACACTTGTCCCCAATGTTTGACCTCTCCCTATCCTGAGTAAATTCGTTACACTTGTCCCCAATGTTTGACCTCTCCCTATCCTGAGTAAATTCGTTACACTTGTCCCCAATGTTTGACCTCTCCCTATCCTGAGTAAATTCGTTACACTTGTCCCCAATGTTTGACCTCTCCCTATCCTGAGTAAATTCGTTACACTTGTCCCCAATGTTTGACCTCTCCCTATCCTGAGTAAATTCGTTACACTTGTCCCCAATGTTTGACCTCTCCCTATCCTGAGTAAATTCGTTACACTTGTCCCCAATGTTTGACCTCTCCCTATCCTGAGTAAATTCGTTACACTTGTCCCCAATGTTTGACCTCTCCCTATCCTGAGTAAATTCGTTACACTTGTCCCCAATGTTTGACCTCTCCCTATCCTGAGTAAATTCGTTAAACTTGTTCCCAATGTTTGACCTCTCCCTATCCTGAGTAAATTCGTTAAACTTGTCCCCAATGTTTGACCCCCCTACCCTGGGTAAACAACAGCTGCTTGTGGATGGCTGACAAAAAAATGACATTTTAACTTCCACTTTATCCATGGTGGTCATCAATGGCTACCTCTGTCTGACAAATTAACTGTTACTTTGTTGTAAGTCTACATTGAAAACAGCCTCCTTGGTCATGACTGACCGTGACTGTCCACTGGAGCTGACCTTACAATAGGGTATAGTGCCCAGACTGGACACTGGACAAAAGTCACAGATGCCAGCTTTGTACAACAAAATAGTCAATGTCCAGAGGTGGAACAGACACAATGGACGGTCAAGGTTTAATGAACTGACTGGCAGTCTATTGTCCACCCCTGGCAGGACAAGACAAGCAATTTTATGGACAATTTCATCATAAAATTTCTAATTTCATACTGAATAGAATTAATAATCTATCTTGATGTGAGAATTAATGAAAATAGTCGGGTAATGAAGCGGAAAGACAAACTGACTTTAGGCAAAAGGGCTGATGAGAAAACATTGAAGCCCAAATACAATGTACCGAGCTGCCATGATGAAAGCTGGTCACATTTGAATGTTGTATGTAGCTTACTTTTCCTTCCCCCCCCCCCCAAAGAATGAACTTCTTTAAAGAAATACTTGTTCAAAACAAAACCCCTCAGAAATGCAGCACACGTTCACAGTTCAACATAAATACAACATTTAAAGTTTTGTTTAAGCAGATATATGTAAAATTTCTATACATACTATGAATACAATATCAGTTCTGAAGACTGGATTGTATATTTACTTTTTCCCCTTAATTTTAGCACTGGGACATGTTGACAGAAAACCCACGGCATGTAGTTCTGCCTCAAACACAGGAAATTATTTTTCTAACATGAAAACCCTAACAAAGTTTTACTTCAAATACAAATACCTTCTTTTTTTCACTGTACATGTTTTCCTTTCTCTTATGAATAAACCAACACAGTTATTTACAAAGCCTACTTATTTATCTCCTCATCGGGACAGGGTTGTAACACATAACAAAGAGCGGTGTTCTCAAAGTGTTCAACTCCTCTTTAATCAATATATAAACAAATAGCAAACAAGACTGTATTGTTTGTGTAAATAGACGGCCATTTTGAAATAACACTGACAAGGAAGAACTGGCATATTTCAGCCAGACTTCAATCCAGAAATGTGACCTCCTTGAATGTAAGGGATAGAAAATTGTGCAAATCCTGTCCAATGCTGTTTGATTTTGGAATGTACTTGTAGCAGGAACCAGCTGTTCAAGATCATTTGCTGTCACATGAAAAATACACAGCCCCTGTATAGCCCAAGTGTTTGTTTAGAGGAGATGATGGGGGGAGATACTGAGGAGGGGGCAGTGTGCAGATGGCAGGGGGCTCCCCATGGGGTCACACAAATAAATACACCACTGTCAAGTCAATTGGACCGAAATGGACACAATTTAGATTGGAAGCCATTTAGATACCTGACTGCACCGAACATAAATGACCTTGCCTTTTATGAGTTTCTGGATCTGAAACAAGGTCTGGAAGGCATACCCTTGGGGCCTGCCCCTGCAGACCAATCTTATAGGACTTGCCCTGGAAATCTCAGTAAGGTGGCAGGTCATGTTTTCCTTAGGAAACATAACAAGACCATGTCCAACTGGCTGAGTTCATTAAACACCTGATTAGTGCTATCAGACTATTGCTATGTAGCTCCCAGTTGATGGCCAGCAGATTACTGACCCATCAAATACTGGGAAGAGCACACATTACTTACACCCTTTGATGGACCAAATGTCAAAATAATGTGACTAGGTATACAATTGTCCAGCCGACATCTGTACCTAATACCATTCAGATTTACTTGTACTACTCGTTACAATTGTATATACAACAGAGTGGAACATTCACCTCGGGCCAATAAGGACCCTTACATCCCGGAAGCTAATAATAAACAAAGAAATCATCTCAATGGAAATTTTTCAAGTTTCTTTAAACAAGAAAATTCTTCATCCCCGGAAATTTTGGCCACTTTGCAAAGTGTCTTGACTAATGAGGTTCCAATTATTACCAATTTAAGACCATGCTATGACAACTCCAAAGCACACAACAATAAACACCATCTATTAGAGGCACTAGTACTAAACTTCAATCATAAATAATAATATTTTTAGACCATTTTTTATAATTACCGATCAATGTTAAATTTAAATATTTAAAATCTGTAACTTTATTATTCAGAACATCCCCTTTATGATGCAATGCACCGCTTCTATTATGAATATGTGTAATTGGATGTATTATGCTAATTTTCCTTAAAGATCAATTATTTTTAATTACCTGTCCATTTTCAATTTAAACATTCAAAAATCTTTCAATTAAGAAACAAAAAGGATGAAAGGTATCAAAGTTAACTAAACTTCGTTTACCAAATTCATTTTATTTTCAATTTTTTAATGTGTCAAACTTGCTTAATTTCACAAATAGTTAAAATTGATCTCATGTAAATATTTTATAAAAAATCAAGAACCCTTTATCTATAAACTGACAAATTATTAAAAAGCCTATGTAAATAAAATCCTTTCTGCAAACAGCAGTTACAAACAGTAGAAAATAACAATTTTAATTATATTCAACATTAAGGCAAAATAAATGCTTCTTGAATTCGTTCATCAATCAAACTTTGTATTATCTATTTAAAAAGCCGGAGTTATCAATCACAAACTCTGAAATATCGGACAATTGAATGCATCGGTTTTCTATAATGAATGTAAATCTTCCGCTAATTCGTTCCTTTCATAGTCCACCACCAATGTGATTTTTTTCTACTGCAGTTTGTAGATAATCACCATTTCCAATTATCCATTTGTATGGGTTAAAAACCAAGGATGGCTGTATACACAAAAGATCAAAGCCTTTTCAAGAGTGCACCAAGAAGAAAGAAAACAAAAAGCATAATTTGTCCGAACACAATTAGGTCATGTGATTGTATACAAACACAGCGAGGAAACTATGGTTTCCATGGACTATATTCCGTGGTGGTCATCCCCGCTACCTGGCGGGGAACAATGCCCTGCCTGCTACAAAGGCCTTCGCTATAAACCTTTCATGACAGAAATACACTTCATGCACTCGACTCAAGACTAGTTCAAAAGGAGTGTGACTTGTTTTTCATACAGCATTTGAAATCTGTTAAACAAATCCTTAAAGATTTCTGTCTTCTTCAGTTGATAACATACTCATCAAAGGCTTGTGTCAAATTTTACATTAAACTGCTTTTAAACGGATTGAAGAAGAAAACTTCAAAATAAAGCTATGTGTGGTGTATCGTTAGTATTACAACATCTGAATGATACCGATTCAAATTAGAATTCAAACATGCATTTACACAGTATTGCCAGTACATTATACTTGTTATATGGATTGTCATCAACTTGACCTTGCAACTGAGCTCAAGGTCACAGTGTTGTGCTTGTGAAACCTTTAAAATCAGCACATGTCAAGCCTTACAATCCTCAACAGAGCAAGCACAGAACAACCGTCATGGCTTCCACGCAAGGAATTAAATGAAATATATAAAATCAATTAGTAGCACTGGTACGTTGAATTAGAGAAATCTTCCAAATTTCGAAACTTTCTACATATCAACCGCAAAGTCAATTTCTGTTCAATTAATGTGCCAAAGCTATTTTTGCACAAGTGAATTTGCTTACCAACACTGCATGCATACATTTTATCAAGGGAGGCAACTTTGGCATATCCCATTGCAGAACTGTCATCATAAAATTCTGCTTAAGGTTTTTGTTTTTGAAAATTTTCAAACAATTCAAAAATATCCATACACAATACGCAATAATTTTCAATAAGATGAAAGGGAAACAGAAAAATTGTCTTACCTTCCCATATCTTTGCGCATAGGATCCCGTTAACAGTGAATGAAAGATGATAATGGTTTCATCTAAATCCCACACAAATACACGTTCCAGGTCGGACTCCGGGCCTGGGGAAGGGTTCAGTTTTCGACCTGACCGGGGTTTGCTATTTCTTGGTCCTGCAGCGGAACCAATAAACGGACACTTCCATTAGTCACATATAATTAAAATAATTTTAATCACTATGTAAAATATTATACACTTAGTCTTATAAGCCTATGCCCTAGATAAGCCCACCCTTAGTTTTACAGAGGAGAGGTAATCCACAAACACATGCAAGCCCTTTATGTGCCAGAGAGGAAACCCAAGCACTTGTTTATTCCTTTCAATGCACCCTTAATTGGTAAACCTGTGAAATCTGGCTACCATAAATATGCATGTAATATGTACTACTTTGTTTATATTCAATACACTTATTACAGTACCCCTTTTATATGGAAGTCCATCTTATTAAATATGGCATCCTTATTATGAAAAATCTGGTAGGCGAATATTTTAAGGCATTCATATTCAGTTGGAGAACAACTCACAAAATGATGCCAGTGTTTTGATTGTTTTCTTGCCAAACTAGACAAGCTGCCATCTCCTTTGCCCTATTTTGAGCTGACCAGTGAACAAATTTGATTTCCAATATAAAAATAAAATTAAAATAAAATAAAAACAAAGTTAATGATTTGAGGGCTGATCTGCAACACTGCCCTAATGACTAATGTTAAACCCAAAACATGATACTGTCTCTAATACAAATCTAGAATTTTCACTTTTTCTTAAAAACTTAATTTAATTATAAAATGCAATTAGATAACCTTTTTCTGCTCAAAGCTCTTCATTTTTGTGGGAAACAACAATGGAACCGTACCTGATTTATTGATCTAAGCTAACGAGCTGAGATACATCCGATATCCTTTGATCCCCTGCAATTTCCATTAAACCAGGATAATTTTTGTAGAATTTTCATCATTAAAATTGCCATTATACTATTGGGTAGAAGTACTAATGCTAGCTGAAAACAAAACTACAAATGGTGCACGCCGTAGGATCAATACCCACACACATCTCCCCTACTCTCTACCTGTTCCTCAAGGCCAGTGTCACACAGGTACGCCATCAGATGATGAAATATTTAACAAGTTAGCAAAGCATGCTCTATACTCACTGGCTATTCCATTCTCACGAGCTGGCGGGGAGGGACTGGTTATCTGTGCGTATTGGCCATCTACAAAAAATGTAAAATAAGCATGAGAAATCGCCAAACAAATTAAATCCATGATTGTCAGATTGTCAACTCGCCATGTTTGTGCAATGTCCTCGGAAAAAACAATTCTGGAACCAGCTGTTAGAAAATATTATCCATTATTCAGTTTATATTAATTATTTGTATTAATCTCCGAGTGGTATATGTGAGGGCACAGTATCAAATATGATGAAAATTTCTGATCCTAGATGTCATCAAGCATGAAGGTAGTATTTTTCATTGAGAAGGCAAAGTTGACAAGATGGAGGATACAAATTAAGTGACTATTGGTAATAATACAGCAACATGTTAATAAGTGACAGGTACAAGGAAAAATTATTTGCACTACAAGGTTAAAATTTGATTTGAAATCACACGGAAATGACATAAGTTGAATGGACAACCACACTTAGTCACTAAAAAGCTTTCATGGCATGCAAATACCTTTTTTTGTAATATTTTTCTTTGTAAACAATTTTTACAATATGATCGAAGTTCTGTAGGTGTAATGTTTCCTTTTAAAACTTGTATGGTAGATACTAAATGAAATGGAAGTGTGATAAAAACTACGAGGTCATATAGATATACTTCCTATAGCTGTCTAGTGTACATCTCTAATTTACCCTCGTTATAAAAGATAAAACCCCACACATCTGATTCATCTGCTGTGGTTCCTACAGTAGAAAGTTGGACAGACTTAAAGCCAGACCGTGGTGAGTTGTTGGTCTCTCACTTACGATGTCAAAAAGCCCTTTTGTGACAATAAATTGCTCCAGCCAAACACAACGAGATGATAGCTTGTAATTCCCGGCGATGACATTTGCCGATGACATTTTCGAAGAGCAAATAATGTGTATGGGGAAGAAAAATATGTAAATATAACTAATTGTACATTTGTGACAATTTCCGTCTCAAATTTTGTCAGGCTGATGTATTCAACAGTCACAAAATGTTTTCGGAAGAAGATGCGGATGACAGAAAAAAAAACACTGTGCGATTGCAGGATCTGGCAATGACCTGCTCTGACACCGATTTGTAAACGGCAACAGATCAAATAGAGACCCCAGCTATCTGGTCTTAAATATAAGCTACATGTTGAGAGCTTTTTTCTGCAACCAAATCTGAGATTAAATGGTGTGGTTGTTACCCCAGCCTAAACATGGATGGCTCTATGGTGTGTTTCTCGTGTACAATTACTGTCTGTTTCCACAACGTTTCAATGCATTCTGAAATACTATCCGGGGAAATTCTCATATAGGATGGCCATAGTAAGGAAGTTAAACGTAGGTTACTCGCTCAAAAGTATTGGGTGTAGGGTTAGATGTATCATCTTTAAAACCTGACATTCTCGTAGGAAACCCCTACCTCAGAATACCCATAATACACCAATTGCTGACATTACCCATAATCCACTGGGGCGGTTTATGACACTGGCTGTATCAGTGAATTATGACCAAATGATTCAAATGAATAAACTCAACTGCAGTTCAATATTACAGCATCTGTTCTGGGCCGAACATCAATAAAAAGGATACTTGAATTGAGTCTATTTTCAACCATCAATATCATTCTTTTCTCTTATATTTTTTTTTAAGAAATAAGAGATTTATGAATAAATAACCGGTGGAATTGTGCAGCACTGAAAGGATTCATCAATAGTCACAATATGTCACCTGTATCTAGTTACTGTATTACTGATGCCAGATAATCCCTCGTACAGATGTGTGGGACACTACGGCCCGAGTTACTGTGGTGATTGGGTACAATCAGAGTGCAGGTACCCCGATTCATTAATGCTTTATCATATTCAATGTACATTTTCCCCTATGTTATCATTAATGATGACACATATTTTAGTCCAAAATATTTTTTTTGCTTCCATATAAAAATATAAATCATTTCAAAAAGCTGAACGAGATTGTAAATCCAATGAAATATTTCTTCCTGGGCAATTATTGCGGATCATGAGATATATAATTTAACAGTATACTGTATTTTTGAGATATATGCAGAATTTCAAATATCTTCAGAGTATATATCCAGATGTATCAAAACAAACAATCCTATACAAATTCCTTTCAGTAATATAAATCCTCACCAATGAATAATTTAATGCATCAATTTACCAAAAATAAATCTGCAAAGATATGTAGTGATATTAGAGTAATAAGGAATTATAGGAATATGAAATGGCATTATTAAATAAACTGCTTCTGATTGGCTGAGACACCTTGATCACAGTTCTAAATAATATACCATAATCACCAAATATTTTTAATATTTTTCCTATGGTTTACATCACAGCATATTCACCAAATATAAAGTCCATTATTTATAATATCTTATGTTTAGACAAAAAGGTTTTACAGTGTATGTGAATGACTGCAGTAATCTTTAAAATCCTGAACTATTGTGTTTTAAAAATCTAAAATTTACAAATCTCCCCTTTTGTATAGTAATGATTGACCTGACGTCGACAAAGACCACGATGACGAAAGTACAAAATCTCAAAGTCAACTACTCCAATTTTTGTGCCTTAAATATAAATGTCAGATTTTGAGGTTCCATCCTACTTTGCACTTTCTGGAAAGTTGATGGACATCCATTGGTATGTTAGTCGGTGAGAAACTTTAACACATGCCCAGACCATTGGTATGGAATTCTGTGAAAGTGGCACTTGAAACCTCTATGAGCAATCCTTCAACTGCTCGAAGAGCCTTATCTAACAGGGATAAGGCATCTTTTTTAAGCCTGAAAATTGAGACCAAGTGCTATGATAAAGCTTTTAACAGGGAGTTTGCAGGTGCAGAAATTTGCATAATTTTAGAATTTGTCAGGCCATAAAGTCATCAGGTTACCAGGCGTTAGGGAAGTATGTCTATAGAAGAAATGCTACAGGCCCATTCATAAAGATGTCCTCACAACGGTACAGTACAGCCCACACATCAATTAGACAACGTTGTCCTCATAACAGTACAGTACAGCCCACACATCAATTAGACAACATTGTCCTCCTAACAGTACAGTACAGCCCACACATCAATTAGACAACGTTGTCCCCATATCAGTAAAGTAAAATCCACACATCAATTAGACAACATTGTCCTCATAACAGTACAGTACAGCCCACCCATCAATTAGACAACGTTACCCTCATAACAGTACAGTACAGCCCACACATCAATTACACAACGTTGTCCCCATATCAGTAAAGTAAAATCCACACATCAATTAGACAACATTGTCCTCATAACAGTACAGTACAGCCCACACATCAATTAGACAACGTTGCCCTCATAACAGTACAGTACAGCCCACACATCAATTAGAGCACGTTGTCCTCATAACAGTACCGTACAGCCCACACATCAATTAGACAACGTTACCCTCACAACAGTACAGTACAGCCCACACATCAATTAGACAACGTTACCCTCACAACAGTAAAGTACAGCCCACACATCAATTAGAGCACGTTGGCCTCATAACAGTACAGTACAGCCCACACATCAATTAGACAACATTGTCCTCATAACAGTACAGTACAGCCCACATATCAATTAGATAACATTGTCCTTATAACAGTACAGTACAGCCCACACATCAATTAGACAACGTTGTCCTCATAACAGTACAGTACAGTCCACACATCAATTAGACAACGTTACCCTCATAACAGTACATCCACACATCAATTAGACAACGTTGTCCTCATAACAGTACAGTACAGCCCTCACATCAATTAGACAACGTTACCCTCACAACAGTACACATCATTTCTAGCCCTCATAACAGTCCACATCATTTCTAGCCCTCACAACAGTACACATCATTTCTAGCCCTCGTATCGGTACACATCATTTCTAGCCCTCATAACAGTCCACATCATTTCTTGTCCTTACAATTGAACATCTTAAACCCTAAAACAAAAGGAAGAGACAGACTGTCCAAACAAACTTATTTTTTTACTTATAAAAGATTTCCCCACTTATAATTTGTTGTCAATACTAAACATCTGTGTCCACAAACTCTGTTATTGATCTCCACCACCTACATAAACAATTGTTGACTCCAACATTCCTTACCGACAGATCTCATTTAGATTAAGTGCTGATCTTGGATACATTAGAAAGATTTTGGAAAGGAGTCTCCGCAAGAATTTCTACAGTAAAGGGAAAAACAAAAGCCTGTTTTTAAGTTCTTTATTTATACAAAACAATAATCGTTTTGAGGAAGGCTATCAGAATGTGACCTGCCTATTGTGTCGTTTTGTCCCATGTGACTGGAGTGTGCAGTATAAGTGACGAGGGCGTGTTGGACAACAGTACCCCACAAACCAACACCACATGTAATCTCCATGGCATATTTACTGCTCCCCTAAACTTTATCAAACTAGCCCCAATAATGGCCAAAAATGTATCGGCTCAAGTTTATGTGTTAGTAAGGGTGTTCTGCACCGTTAACTTTCCAAAGGCACACTGGTACTGGCACATAAGCATGAAATTCATGTCCTGCGCTTTTCAAAAAAAAAATCAGTGGATCATAAAAAAGGAATTCTTATCACAGTCACTGAACAAAAATAACAACACACTGGCAAGCAAACTGCAATAAATTGTCCCATCTAGTCGCACTGATCCAGCCTTGCTGACAATCTCAACGTTTTAGTTATTTTTTTTTATTTTCTAAACAATTTTCTCTGTCATTCCAGGTAGCATCTAACTACCCACAATACACAGTGGGCCCGAATTAAAGGTCTTAGTGAGATAAATCACCAGAGACCCCCTCACGAAGCTATCCAGGCTGAACTGGTGGGGTCATAGTTCGACAATGTTTATGGCAGATAGGGTCAGAGATGGTTCTCTCCCGGTTACCAGGGACAAAAGCCACAGAGACTATTTTCGTTATTGTGTTGAAAGCCTGGCAAAGGAAGACAGGAGGAAGACACTAGGAAAATGTACCACACACAAGATGGCATGTGTGATATGGAAGACAGACCTGCTCATCTGTCTGGGCTGAATGTTGTACACAGAGATACTTTTGCTATTGTAATAGGCTTTCTCACCCGATTCACCTTAAATCTCAACAAAAACAATTCACATCTATTTTTTTATTTTTTTATTACATGTAGTAAGTTATTCTTCCTTTAAATGGTATCATTTTTTTTGAAACATTCTAATTTTTAAAAATATTGTATGCTTTCATAATTTCAAAAAAAATTGCCAAGGTATTCTCTTTCACAAAATTTGTTTTGAACCAGTTTTCTAATTCTAAAATGATGCTGCTGGTTGTATTTTAGAGATTGAATTGTGCATAGTTATACTTTTATAAATATAGCATATTTTTACATATATTATCATAACCTTTCTAATCAATGTATTTTAATACAAATATGTCAATGAAATATTTGAAATAGTAACTGCAAAATATAAAGATAGTCAAATGAAGTTTCCTCTTTATAACGCAGTTGTCTTCCTAGGTAATAATCAGGTTTTCTATACTAAGATACTAAGTCCCGTTTTAAATCAAGTCCAAATAAACTATGTTTAACTTAGGTAATTATTTTAAAATTAACCAAATAAATTGAAAAGTTTAAAACCATTCTAATAAACAACAATACAAACATTTTCCAGTCTTTTTTTGAATGAAAATGAAATGTTTAAAAATTAATAACATAACGTCCTTCCTCCTTCTCATTTTCAAGACGTAACTGAAAAGAACAAATGGTAGCAACGAGGTAATTGATGCCTTACCTAGCCTACCAGGTGTTACCCAACGACAGATTAGCTAACGACAGGTATGCCAAGCTTTGTGACAGCACACTCCTACCCTGGACCCCCTGGGTTGACCTGCTATCCAACAGCTGGTGTAGGTGGGGAGAACAGAACACAGTTGTTCTCCAGGGACTTTAAATTTATCAAAACATATCTGTACTTTCATTTTTTTCCCTAATAAAATCAAAAGAAGTTTTGTAAGTGTTGCTCTCTGTAAAGATTTTAAAATTCTGTTTTTTTTTGGAATATTGTCATAAATTTTTAATTCAATGCAATGTGATTAAACTTTTTTCAACTTTGGTTTGTTTTTTCTATAGTCTGAAAAATTAGCTTTAAAATGATTCTATGCTACAATTCCTGTCTTTTTTAATTTTAGAATGGAACAAAAAAAATATGATGACTGAAATGAGATTACTTTTGATTTTTCCTTCTATCCATACAATAAATTACAAAACAGATATCAATCAATGGCAAAGCTGGGCAACTGTGAAAATTGAAAACCGGTATTTTTGTGTTAATGTGCTCAGGTTCTTAACATAATACATCAAGTTTGATTCCCTGAAAAAAAATTGTCTTATAATATCTACAAAAAATGCCTCAGTAATTTGAATTAACTTGAATTTGTTACTATAAATGGCTGAAGTCTGAATCTTGGCAGTTTGGCAGATTAAAGAGCATTGTAATAGTGTCTATTTCATTTTCTGATACAAAAAAAAAACCTGACGTTTTGTCAGAGAATTTATATAACACACAATACCAAGATATGTAAGACGGGGGAAAAAAATGAAAAAATGAACTCAAAATTGTGTAAAGATATTGATGGTCAACTATGCCAAAACTTTTTTACAACAAAATACTTTTAGAAAAGTGAACCACAAATATGGTTAACAATGCCAAACATTGTTTAAACATCAAAATAACTTCTGAGCAGATAAACCGCAAATATTAGAGTGATCTATGGAGACCTATGGTGGACAACAAAGCAAAAAAAATGTCTATACATCAAAATTCATTTAGAAGATTATAGGTTGTGTTTTCAATTACAGCGAATCAAAACTGTTGTATAGACTATAGACACTCCAGTTACAATGACAGTGATTTCCATTTGCCAGCTTATCTAGAGAAACTATCTGAGCAAGCCTGATCCTAAATAACATTAAATTTCTTCTATCTAGGTAAAGGGTTGTAGGTGACAATGCTAATGTGTCGGGCGAGAGGGGATCACCATCCATCACTCCGACAGGCTACCCTCAGCTTTGACAAATAACACACCGATGGTCATTATGAAAACCTTGTCACTTGTAAGTTATTGACAATTTTAATCGACATGGCCATTCTGAGTGTCAACTGGTAAAGTCCTGGTTGATTTGACAAACTGAATAACACCAAGGTTTTCATACAGTCCGGCCAATGACCAAAACATGTACATTTAATGTGTGACTGTCCATGTCTGACCTCGAAACACCGCCATCGGCTATCCTTACACTGTCCACCAGTCAACCAGTGCAAAAGACAACTTTTCCCATAGTTTTTCTTCATAGAAAACGGATTTGTAACGTTAAAGTAATTGACAGTGTATTATTTTCTGGAACAAATCTACGCATAATTGAGAATAATAAGGTCGGACTGAAACATCACTAATCCTTTTACTTTTTAGTGTTTGCCGTAAATCTTTCTGAGACGAAAGCATAAAAGATTGTTTTGAAATTGGGCTAATCCTCTTATACAGCACAAAATGGATGCAGAGCTGTATTTGTTGAAACGATTAAGGGTGCAAACATTTATAATAAATTCCGTGCAAGTCGATACGCTATATGGTTGACTTCAGTTTAAATTGTAATTTTACAGGTTTGTTTGTTCAGTAGATCAGGAATGATGCATATGTTCCATATCAGACTCTGACCCCATTCTCCAATCCTCCCCATCTCAACTCACGCACATACAATTATTGTCACATCAACATTCAGGCCATTGTAATACGACCCTTACAGATAATCCCCCTTTCCTGATTTCAATGTCAATTTCATAGCCTTATAAATATTACCAGGAAGTATGAATATCATTGCAATTAATGAAATTTCTATTTTTAATTATTTTTTTCATAAATATGCTAATGCAAACTTTTTCCATATTTCCTGGTTAAAAATACATAATTATATGCATGAGTATGCTAGCTTGATTTAAAATTCACATATACGTTAAAATTTCATTCAATTTAAAAAAACCTGAAAAATGGAAATGCGAACCATTTACCATAAATGGAACTTAAATAAAAATATAAATGTTCTGGATGTTTATGAGATTTTTATTGAAGGATGTTAATTACCTTCTGTTTTGATTGGCTGGACCTCTGGTGGACTGACCAGTTGGTAGGTCATGGTGGTGCCCCCTGTCGTAGAAGGGGTGCTGTTGAGTAGGGACGGGTTTGGGTAGTAGTAGGGATTAGCTGCTCCGGGGACATGGTAACTGCCATAATTAAACCCTTCAATGGACTGGAAGAAAAACACAGCAGAAATAACGCATTGATCTAAACAGTCACATAATCAGAATCGATGGTGTTGGCAAAGGCATACAACAGTTTAAACAAAGTAGGAGGCACACACCAAGGTAGCCATTGATGTAAGGACCACTGGGCCGATCTACAATGAAGTGTTGCTCACTCAATCAAACAGTCAGTCTACCACCACAGAAACATACCCATAGTAGTTTTATACTAATGGCGTCCCTTGTATGCGACATTCCCTTGCTATACTAATTCATAGCATAAAGATTATTTTTTTCAAGTTCAAATTAATTGAGCTGACAAAAATAGATAAATGTCTGTCACTCTTTAAATTTATTAGCAAAAATGTGATCAAAATTTATTTCAATATCTATCTTCTTTATATATTAGTATAGGTGTTTTTTGTATCTTTCATTTCCTATGAAATGAACAAAGACAAACACTGACAACGAATCTGACATTGATGAATTGAACAGCGCACAAGGTATTCACCTTGTTACTGCTGTGTTTCAGTGCCGTCTGTACTCCACCACGAACACAATAACTGCCGCCGTTTTGTTATTGAGGCCAAAATAAAATATATGGCTGCCTTACGATGTTGGGGGCTGCAGGGAAAATATCTATATATATATACTCCTTGTACAGGTGAGTCAACAACTTTCAGGTACGGAATAGATTTTGATAAAATATAAATAAAAATGTCTCTTTAGGAGGTCTATCACTGAAGTCGACTGCAGAATACCAATGGCAATGTGAGGGTATGTGTCTGTCCCATCAGAATTGTCATACCTTCAGTGTCAACCCCAAGTAATGTCAAACTGGAGAAAAAATTTACATATATACTAGATAATTACCATGGTAACCATGTTTGACTTTATGAGACCCCCTCCAATTCCCCCCCTCCTGGCCAACCCACCATGGAACCTTCCCTACACAACAATGGTTGGCATTAGCATTTTTATGGGTTTGCATTAATACTAGGTCTACAAGGATGCCTGGCAGATTTAGGAGACTTTAAAATTACCGTATTCTTTCAGCTAAATCTGGTCACAAATACCGATTACTTCATTGGAATCAAATTTTTTTTTTTTTTTTTTTAAGGCAATGGTTGCTTCCATAAACTCTAAGCATCATGGAAAATTGAACTTCAAAATGGAAATGAAACGTTGTCATGTTGTTTTTAGCTGTTGAAGGGAAGAATTGATATTAGCATGATGATGCTATTTAACATGTTCCTGTCCATTTTAATACCTGTGTATATATAAAATTATAGTTCTTAAGTCGGTATTTGAAACATTCAATCATTTCGTTTATCAGAATCACAATGTTAAATTCAGAAACTAATCAACATAACATTGTCTACAGACATCATGAGATGATGTCACAAGTATTTTGGATGAGACTAGAGTTTGTGAAATTTTCCATAGATATAAGTGACTTCAATTATATAATTATACATGAAATAGAGAACACACATGTCATTTAATTATCTTTGCTGACATAAAACATGTTTTCTTTGACAGAAATACCACAATGTGGTAAAAATATAATCCCTTATATGGATTAATATGAAATTAATGATAAGGCCGATAATCATTATTTCTATCAAAAGTTAGATCACCATCTATATAGACCAGGAGAAAGTCAATGCCAGAGTATGATAGTGTGGCACTGAAAAAGGTTGGTGTATAGATTTACAGATTCCTTGTAAACAAACCTAGGTCGAATGTTACAGTCTAGACATAATATAAGTACATATCATACTAAGATTGTCATAGTAAATGTCATACTAAGATTGTCATAGTAAATGTCATACTAAGGTTGTCATAGTAAATGTCATAGTAAATGTCATATTAAGATTGTCATAGTAAATGTCATACTAAGGTTGTCATAGTAAATGTCATACTAAGGTTGGCATAGTAAATGTCATACTAAGGTTGTCATAGTAAATGTCATAGTAATTGTCATACTAAGATTGTCATAGTAAATGTCATACTCAGATTGTCATAGTAAATGTCATATTAAGGTTGTCATAGTAAATGTCATACTAAGATTGAAGTAGTAAATACCGTAAGATAGCCGAAATTTAAATATCATACACAGATCTCCCCAGACAGCATATGTCATACAGAAATTGTCACAGACACTGCACGTCGTCTTCAGATTGTCATAGTTAATGTCATACTAGGATCATCACGGCATATGTATATTACAATCCCTCCTGTGTCATCCCTTACCCCGTACCCTCTACACATCACCGATACTTTAATTTCTATGTAATAGAATTTCATGCTTAAAAATTATTTACCTTTACACTACATGAATTTTAGCGAATTGTCTTCAAAAATGGCTATGGTAGCCTGGGGTCAGGTGAAGGCAGAGACAACACCGGCTGAGCTCACCATCCTTCTACATCCCTACACAGAAATATCCTGTCCCTACAACAACTAATAACAGGCCAATAACACCCGCCTGTCTTGACATGTTGAAACCTGATGCTGTCTTCTGATAGTAGAGACAGAAAACTGACATCTCTGAAATATTTAGCGCTAAACCTGTCAGCTTGAACAATGGAGCCCCGGAGGAAACCCCACTTTATTTCAATTCATTGGCCAAGCAGGGTACCAAAATGTCCGTTCATCCACTGTGAGTGTCACCTTGGTTTACCTTCGGTTTGTTTATCTTTAATATCAGAGCCATTTTGATTTAAACAGTGAACCACAAATGTCGGAGAAGAAATGGAAGTTATAATGCTATCTCCCCTTGCTATCAATTACAGTGATTTGACTAGAGAAAACTTCTGACAGACTTTGATTATATGTAAAACATTTCTTATCAAATATCTTCCCAATCTTCACTTTTAAATAGTAACAGTGAACCAATCTGACTGACTTTGATTACAAACTAAAACTGTTATCATTCATTATAATGTTAATATGTAATCAGATGAGAAACACACCATATTGACAGATATTGAAAACATGTCAACAGTCACCATTGTTGTAAAGCGTTTGATTGATCCAGGATACTTTATAAACATTTTGAAGACCTTGACTACACAGATAAAACATTGAACTGACCTGTGAATTACAGGTAGAAGACATACTCCCCGGTGTTGTTGTAAATGGCACTTGTGCTGGGTCTGTAACAGAATATCAAACTTTTTCAAACACTGACTGAACAAAGAATCCACAATTATAATTCAATTTCACTGTTGAAAATCTTGACATCTGGCATCAGTTGTTTGTTACAGTTTAGCTTAATGAATCATTAACAAAGTCATTTTAAAATCAATTTTTCAGATGTATCTTAAATATATATATATACTCCTGCATATATGTAACCACTTTAAATGTATACAGTTTTTATTCTGAATTTCATGATGTTTAAACATAACATTAGAAGATTAATATGTTTTAACATAACATTGGAAGATTAATAATTATGAAACTAATTAGATTTTGATCAATATACAGGATTTGATCTTGTTTTTGTTAAAGATATCTGTTAAAATATTCAAGATATACTTGTAAGTTTTGTAAAAGATGAATGATGTTTAACAGATATAAATACCTAAAAAAACCCACCAAAAACTTGAGATCAATGAAAATTGAAACAAAAACCTTATTTGTTCAAGAGACTGATTTAATGAAATTCCTGAATACTCACAGACATACGACCCCTGTGGTGATTGGGGGAAACTTGAGCTGTAGCTATTCAGGTAACTTGGGCTCACAACTTGACTGCCAGGGGATTTTATTTTTCCAACTGAAAACAAAATTCAAATATAAAACATTTAAACCAAGGAATAATCTTACAATAGCACGTGATTCTAACAACCCTTAAAAAGTAAATTTTGGGGAAATATTGCATTCTCAAATACGAGGAAAGTTTTGTACGCGTTAACGAAGTAATCTACAGGGAGAAATCCTCACAAGCCAGTTCTAGCCAGTTAGAGCCAGTTACCGTTAACTTCCCTCCTCGGAGGCAACATGCCTATTACCAGATAGCCTATAGTTATACATACAATACAAAACTCCATTGTTTTTATTTCAATCTTCATCATTACTGACTATCCTTTTCCAGACTTCTTTACTGTTTGCTGAATACATATATCAATTCCTCAAGTAAAGTTTCTTCGATATTAAAAGGGAGGAAGGATGAGAAAAGAAGGATTTGGAAAATGTTTAATTCTTTTTATGTCACTGTTATCACAATTCCCTATTTAAAAATCTAAACCATAGTATGTAGTTCCACATTTTCTGTTGAAAGATTTGTCAGTAATACCATTGCAGACAAATGAAAACTATTTCTATTAAATAAATCACATTTTATTTATAATTTAATCAAAAAAACATTTAACTTTTAGATTTCAATAAACGAAAAAAATCAAAAAAAGGCAAATCTGTCGCATGAAATAATCAAGATATGTTTTGTGTAGTTAAAGGGAAAGTTTCAGACAAAATAAATCAAAACAAAATTTTAAGCTAACAAAAGCTATTAAATACACCGGGGATATCACGCCAATATAAAATGCTCATAAACAGCAACATTGTCAATCAAATTTGTAATAAGGCAGACAAGTTATTAATAGATATTGTTATTTATGTTGCAGAAATTGCTATAAAAGCTCTCCCCCCCATATAAATCAGGCCCGACCCATCCTAACCATGGCTAGCTGGACACCTGCAGGCAGAGCAGGAGGCCACCACCAGGGGACAGGGGTAACAAAGTCAGGTCTGTGGCAGCAGGCCATCACCAAGGGACAGAGGGTTAACAAAGTCAGGTCTGTGGCAGCAGGCCACCACCAGGAAACAGCGGTTAACAAAGTCAGGTCTTTGGCAGCAGGTCACCACCAGGGGACAGACGTTTAGCAAAGTCATGTATGTGGCAGCAGGCCACCACCAGGGGACAGAGGGTTAACAAAGTCAGGTCTGTGGCAGAAAGCCACCACCAGGGGACAGAGGGTTAACAAAGTCAGGTCTGTGGCAGCAAGCCTGGCAGAAGACTGCCATCGGGAGGACCGGGTAGCTGTTCAGATCTGCTGTAGAGTTGAGTTAACAAGCTGCTGCTTGATGTAATTGTTTTTTTGAAGATTTTGTGTGGTCTGTGGCAGGATATATTGGACCCTGTTAAGTCTATAGCATGGTTGATATCTCAGGACATTAGTAGTCTCTGCCAGATGGACATCTACGACCCTGAGTAGGCTGTGTGGATATCAGGACCCCTTGTAGTCTGACCTTTCATTTGACCATTGAGAGTAGGTATTTGGCTCCCAAAAATAAGCTTCGACTCTTAGCACATGTCTATTTGACTTGTTTTGAAACCCTTCCAATTTCAGGAAAAAGGTGTTTTGACTTCTAAAATTCTTTAATGTCATGCATCAACTGAAAACCATGCCATAAAGAGTGGATATCAAGAGCTCTGGGTGTCTGTGACAGGGAGGATATCTACAGCCCTGTGTTATTGGTGACAGGGAGGATATCTACAGCCCTGTGCTATTGGTGACAGGGAGGATATCTACAGCCCTGTGTTATTGGTGACAGGGAGGATATCTACAGCCCTGTGTTATTGGTGACAGGGAGGATATCTACAGCCCTGTGTTATTGGTGACAGGGAGGATATCTACAGCCCTGTGTTATTGGTGACAGGGAGGATATCTACAGCCCTGTGTTATTGGTGACAGGGAGGATATCTACAGCCCTGTGTTATTGGTGACAGGGAGGATATCTACAGCCCTGTGTTATTGGTGACAGGGAGGATATCTACAGCCCTGTGTTATTGGTGACAGGGAGGATATCTACAGCCCTGTGTTATTGGTGACAGGGAGGATATCTACAGCCCTGTGTAATTGGTGACAGGGAGGATATCTACAGCCCCATGTAATTGGTGACAGGGAAGATATCTACAGTCCCAGGAAATTGGTGATAGAATGAGTATCCAGGCAATTCTGAGAGTCTGCAACAGGGATGATATCTACAGCCCCAGGTAATTGGTGACAGAATGGATATCCAGGCAATGCTGAGAGTCTATGACAGGGAGGATATCTATAGCCCAGGGTAATTTGTGACAGAATGAATATCCAGGCAATGCTGGAGTCTGACAGGGAGGATATCTACAGCCCCCCGCCCCCCCCACCGGTAATTGGTGACAGAATGAGAGATTGTCTAACTAATCCCTGAAAAGTTTGTACTTACTATCAGCTACAGGGTAGTTGTGAAAAGTTTGTACTTACTATCAGCTACAGGGTAGTTGGTCATTACGCTATACGGCGTCTGGCCAGCCTGTGTGTTGTACAGGGCTGAGTTTGTACTTACTATCAGCTACAGGGTAGTTGGTCATTACGCTATACGGCGTCTGGCCAGCCTGTGTGTTGTACAGGGCCGAGTTTGTACTTACTATCAGCTACAGGGTAGTTGGTCATTACGCTATACAGTGTCTGGCCAGTCTGTGTGTTATACAGGGCTGAGTTTATACTTACTATCAGCTACAGGGTAGTTGGTCATTACACTATACGGCGTCTGGCCAGTCTGTGTGTTGTACAGGGCTGAGTTTTGGAGACTAAACGCACTAGGTGCATTAGGGTAGTTGTATGCTGTATTCATGGTTGCTGTGGTTGTAGACACAGCGCCCTCTGGTGTTGACACGGCTCCTGTAAATGCAGCCTCCGTTGTAGCACTACAAAACAAAGTACATTTCTTATACAAACTCATTGTTGTATCTTTACAGTAAAACCTTGTTATACTGCCATCATTTGTTTGCAAGATGTCGGCAATATAAACTGGTTTTGGTGGTACATGTATGTTGAAAAAGACACAAAGGCAAGGGGCCTTCATATAAATAGAAACAAGAGGCACTAAATAGAGGTTTAACTATATATAATGTCTTAAAATTATGAGTCTGGCACCATTTAAAAAACATATAAATACTTTTATTTTTCCATTTGAATAACGAAACAAAAAGTTCTGTATATAGTTTGTACTTGTCAAATTCTTAAATAAATAAGACGTTCCTGTGGAACTTGCAGATATGATTCTTATCATTTAATGACTACACAAAACAATGTCTAACCTGTTTATGAAGTTGGCTAAGTTATCTGTATCTAACTCAGCTGTCACTTTACTGGGGATTTCACCTGTCCAAGGAGAAAAAACACAAAATTAAGGCATGAAGCAGTTAACATTAGACTGAAGGGGAGAAATGAGCAAGGGTTGTAAAAATGACATTACCCAAATAGCTACCAGATGTTAGGTACAAGACCAATGTATCAGCCTTTCCCTACTCTGTCACAGAGGGGGAGGGGAGGGGAGTAGGGGGGGGG